GCGGTAGTTTTCAGTTATATATTTATCTGTTGATGCTGAGATTTTAGTCGTTATTTTAGTTCTTTTCCGCAATTGTTAGGGCCGTCACGATATCCTACAGAGGGGAAACTTGGGTCGTGACAAGTTGGTATCAGAGCACTAGGTTCATAGGTGTTATGAGTCACTAGCATGTTTAGTAGAGTCACACGGATCGATACGGAGACGTCTATACTTATCTTCGGGAGGCTATGGAACTTTTAGGAAAAAAATTTCACTTTTTTGATTCCTTGTCGTGCGAAATTGTTGACTTCAGGATTCTAAACTTCTGTCTTTCTATTTTCCCACAGATGGTGAGGACACGTACAACCGGATAAGATGACCAGATACCTGCGCCCCTATTAGAGTCGCGAGATGCCGGGACCGGGTTAGAGGGCGAGGATGTCCACGTGGTGCAATCAGAGCACCAACACGAGCTACTACAGAGGAGCCACCAGTAGCTCCAGTTGGAGCGCAGGCACCTGAGATGCCTGTTACTGCACCAGCTCTTCAGGAGACCCTTGCCCAATTTCTGAGCATGTTCGGCACTTTAGCTCAGGCAGGGTTGATCCCACTTGCTCCTGCCACAACTCAGGCGGGGGAGGAGCACATACTCCCACCGCCCGTACCCCAAAGCAGCGTGTTCAGGTCAACCAGGTTCTAGTGGTCATACCAATACAACCGGTAGCCCCAGTCCAGCCCGAGGTTAGGGCAGCAATTTCTGAAGAGAAGCAGCACAGGTTCGAGAGGTACAAGAAGTACCACCCTCCTACTTTCACTGGCTTGGCATCAGAGGATGCCCAGGATTTTCTTGAGGAGTGCCACCATATCCTCCATACTGTGGGTGTAGTGGAGTCTAGTGGGGTTTCTTTCACTGCGTCCAGCTTAGGAGAGCGGCTTATCAGTGGTGGCGTGCATATGAGTCGGGTAGTCCGACCGAGGCAGCTTCACTCACTTGGACTCAGTTCTCGGATATGTTCTTGAGGTAGTATGGTGCCAAAACCTCAGAGATGCATGGCGTACAGAGTTTGAGCAGTTGCGCCAGGGTTCGATGATCGTGTCGGAGTATGCGGTTCGGTTCAGTAATTTGGCTAGACATGCACCAGCCTTGGTTGCTACTGTTAGAGAGCGGGTCCGTCGATTTATCGAGGGGCTCAACCCTAGCATCAGACTTAGCATGGCCCGAGAGTTGGTAATAGACATCGCATACTAGCAGGTAGTGGGAATTGCTAGGAGATTAGAGGGTATGCTGACTCAGGAGAGAAAGGAGAAAGAGGCCAAGAGGTCTTGAGAGTCTAGAACTTATAGCGGTACTCGTGCCCCAGCTGCAGCTCGTCATGGTAGGGGCTATGTGAGTCCTCCTGTTCATTCAACACTTCCAGCCGCCCGAGATATTCTGGCCACTCCTAGGCCTTAAGGTCCCTATTAGGCACCGCCATCATCTAGTGCACCTTCTGCACGAGGTGCTTTCAGCGGTCAGTCCAGCCGATCTGGCCCGAGCTAGCCACAACAGCCACGTCCTTCGAGAGCATTTTTTGACTGTGGTGACACTCACCGTATGGCGAGGGATCGTCCCGGACTTGGGGAGGGGGGGGGGGGGTGAACCTCTACAGACTACTCAGGCACTGCGTGCTCCACCGGTCCTCAGGCTATGGTCACAACACCAACTACCACTCCACCTGCTCAGCCAGCTCGAGGTGGAGGTCGGGTAGGCAGAGGTCGCCCTAGAGAGGGAGGCAATGGCAGATATTATGCTCTTCCTAATCGGACAAAGGCAGTTGCATCTGACTCTGTCGTTACAGTTACTATTCCACTCTGTCATAGAGATGCATCAGTCTTATTTGATCCAGGCTCCACTTATTCCTATGTATCATCTTATTTTGCTCCGTATTTGGGTATATTCCGTGATTCTTTGTGTTCTCCTGTCTATGTGTCTAAACCTGTGGGAGATTCTATTATTGTTGACCGTGTGTATCAGTCGTGTTTGGTTGTTCTTAGTGGTTTTGAGACCAGAGCCGATCTATTATTGCTCAGTATGGTATAATTTGATATTATTTTGGGCATGGACTAGTAGTCGCCCTATTATGCTATTCTTGATTGTCATGCCAAGACCGTGACGCTAGCTATGCCAGGATTACCACGGTTAGAGTGGAGAGGTACCTTAGATTATACTCCTAGCAGAGTTATTTCATTTCTAAAGGCTCAGCGGATGGTTTAGAAGGGGTGTGATGCGTATCTAGCTTATGTGAGAGATGCCAATATTGATACTCCTACCGTAGAGTCAGTTCCGGTAGTGAGGGATTACCCATATGTATTTTCTGTGGATCTTCCGGGCATGCAGCCCGACAGAGATATCCGCTTTACTATTAATTTGTTACCGGACACTCAACCCATCTCTATTCCTCCATATCGTATGGCCCCACCGGAGTTGAAGGAGCTGTTACAGGAGTTCTTGATAAGGGCTTCATTCGGCCTAGTGTGTCGCCTTGGGGTGCTCCAGTCTTGTTTGTGAAGAAAAAGGATGGTTCTATGCGCATGTGTATTGATTATCGCCAATTGAACAAAGTTACAGTGAAGAACAAGTATCCATTACCACATATTGGTGAGTTGTTTGATCAGCTACAGGGTGCCAGAGTGTTTTTCAAGATTGACTTGCGTTCAGGCTATCATCATTGAAGATTCGGGAGCCATATATCCCAAAGACTGCCTTCAGGACTCGGTATGGTCACTACGAGTCCTTGTGATGTCATTAGGGTTGACCAACGCCCCAACAACATTCATGCATTTGATGCACAGTGTATTTCGGCCCTATCTTGACTCATTCGTCATTGTGTTTATTGACGATATTCTGGTGTACTCCCAGAGTCGGGAGGATTATGAGCAGCACCTGAGGACTGTGCTCCAGACCTTGAGAGAAAAGAAATATGCGAAATTTTTGAAGTGTGAGTTCTAGCTAGATTCAGCGGCATTTTTGGGTCACGTAGTGTCGAGTGAGGGGATCAAGGTGGATCCGAAGAAGGGAAGCAGTGTAGAGTTGGCTTAGACCGTCCTCAGCTACAGAGATTAAGGGTTTTCTTGGTTTGGCGGGGTATTACCGTCGATTTGTAGAAGGTTTCTCATCTATTGCAGCATCTATGATCAGGCTGACCCAGAAGGGTGCTCCGTTCAGGCGGACAGAGGAGTGTAAGGAGAGCTTTCAAAAACTCAAGACTGCTTTGACTGCAGCCCCAGTATTGGTATTGCATACCAGTTCGGGGTCTTATACTGTATATTGTGATGCATCGCGTATAGGTCTCGGTGTGGTGTTGATGCAGGACGGTAGGGTGATTTCCTACGCGTCTAGATAGCTGAAGGTGCATGAGAAGAACTATCCTGTCCATGACCTTTTGTTAGAAGCTATTTTTAATGCCTTGAAGATTTGGCGGCACTATTTGTACGGTGTCCCTTGTGAGATCTACACCGATCACCGGAGCCTGCAACATCTGTTTAAACAAAAGGATCTTAACCTGCGTCAGCGGATGTGGTTAGAGTTGCTTAAGAATTATGATATCACCATTCTATACCATCCCGGGAAGGCCAATGTGGTGGCCGATGCCCTGAGTCGTAGGGCGGAGAGTTTGGGCAGTCTAGCATATCTACCAGTAGCAGAGAGGCCATTGGCATTGGATGTTAAGGCCTTGGGCAACCAGTTTGTTAGATTGGATGTTTCTGAGCCGAGTCGAGTTTTGGCTTGTATGGTTTCTCAGTCTTCTCTTTATAATCGTACCTGAGAGCATCAGTATGATGACCCCCATCTGCTTGTCCTTGTGGACACGGTTCAGCACGGTGATTCCAAGGAGGTCACTTGGAAACGACGGTGCATTGAGGATGCAGGGTAGGCTGTGTGTGCCTAATGTAGACGGGTTGCGTGAGTTGATTCTCCAGGAGGCTCACAGTTCACGGTACTCCATTCATCCAGGTGCCGCGATGATGTATCAGGACTTGAGGCTGTCACATCTCCTTTTTCCCAGGGATAGGGAGTTTTTTCAATTAAAGTGACATTAATCAAAATGGGTTTATTTATTTAAATTAGAGTCGCCACTTGGGATAGTTATTATGGTGTCCCAAGTCACCAGTTTATTTGAAAAATCCCAAATCGAGGAAATTGACTCTATTTTTACGGTCCGCGAATACAGAAGACTGGGTAAGGAATTTTGCTAATCCGGAAGAAGGTGTGAGGCACTCCCGAGTTCCGCGGTTTTAGCACGGTCGCTTTAATCATACCTGGCTTAATTAATTATTTACTTACGTATTATAGAACCTATTTGTATTTTACCTTTTATCACTTTTAATTATGGCGTTTATGGAATTAATCTTTGAAATGGATCACATGTGTGTAATCCGTTTTGTTTAGTATGCTAAAAATCATATCACGCGTACGTGTACATAATTAATAGCACTTAATTAATTATTAAGAGTGGTTGGTCAATGTCGCGCGAACGCATACTTTGATTTATTTTAAAAATCATAATCATGTCACGCGAACGTGTATATAATCACGATAATATATTAGAACGCGCCTAAAGCATTCAATTATATTCAAGAATTGACTTGTTTTCCTAAAAGCTATTTTTCGAAATTTCCGTGAAAGTCTAAGGAATTAGAGTTATAGGTACAAGAATCTTAGGGATATACAAAGACTAATTGCAATTGTCGAAGTACATGGAGGTTTAAAAAATATGGAGTGTTTATTTGTGGCCAAATTACAAAATTGGCTAAACTAACAGAATTGTTGTTATTGGGTATTAATGGGCAATTGATTGAGGCCATGGTGAATAGCATTGACCTAATGACCTCAAAGTCCATTGTACTCTTCAAATTAATTTAACATATTGGGCTATGGCCCAAAGTAAATCAGTTTCGGCCCTAAGTGACACCATGCATGTCCAAACACTTTTGTTTTCTAATTACCAATGATAAAAACGATACATTTACTTAAACATTCATAATACTAATTTGAACCATTTTTTATCAAATAAGTATTCAGGAATTAAAAGATGAATTACTCATATAAAGGAAAGCTGAGATTACAACTAAATGGCCTATCAATTAGATTACAACTATAATAAGAACAAAATTACATAATCCTAACTGATTGAATTTACTGCACTTGATGAACTGCTATAAAACTACATCCCACAGTCTCATTAACGTGAAAGTTATGCTCCCATTCCTGCCTCGCCTTGGCTTGTTGATTTAATCAACCTGAATCACCAGCACTTCATTACTGCATGATTTGGCTCAAACTTTATCCAGTAATGGATTTGATCAACCGGTGATCAAATCCAATGACTGACTAGCCTTTGTTTCCACATGCTAATATCAAATCAAGATTATACCATTAATTTTTATGAGCCAACATTCAAATGAAGAAACATATTGTTTCCAGCATATTCTTACTGCTTAAATGAATCTCGACCATGTCTTAGACAGTAGTATCAACACACCCTACACTATTAAGTCAAACAATGGTAGTCAATACATAAAATACTTCAACAAAAAATATAGATAAGCACATTAGTGTAGATTTTAGATAACTATGACAACCTAAACCTTAATTACATGGCTTGCAGAATCAGATTTGTACATGTTAAACACGTAAGAAAACACAATGATCTCTACTCAAAACAAACAATAAACAAACTTCAATTATATTAGGTATTTCATTACTTCAAAACAAGACTACATCTATTGGAGGTCAAAGCAATACCTTAGCAGCAACAAAAGAAGAAGAAAATAAATCTCTGAATTTGAGAAACAGCTAGACAAAAGATTCCACCACAGCTTGATGAAAAATCAACACACAGCAACTAACATCAGTAAGTCCTAGAAGAAAGCCTCAATTTTAGGCCAGAATTAACTTGAGAAAATCAGAAATCAGTGAAGAGAAACGACAAAATCTTAGAAAAATAACTCTTGAATTTTCTTTAGTTTTCCAGATATGGAATTCAATTTGACTCACAGAATTTGTTCTAAACTTTTGCTTTCAGGGGAGGATCGGAGAGTGAAAGGGAAAAGTATCGCCCTTTATGTGTGAGTGAGTGTCTCTCTATATAGAAAAAAATGAGGAAATATCAAAGAGAATATGTCAGGTGTAAAAAAGGGAACAAAAGCATCTTTTAACCAATTTTTTGTACAACTGTCCTTTATTCCAGATGTTTATCTAATTTTCAGCATCTTTTCCTTAACAAATTTGGATAGTTGTCCATCATCTAGAAGCTTCTTCTTATTTTCCATCCCTTTATGCTTTCTATTTTTACATCCTTACCCCAACCTTTCTTTTTATTGTAAATCAGTCCTCTCTATATTTTCTTATAAGCTTCCTAAACCAGCAAACAAACAGATTCCCTAAACTTTTCCAATTAACCCCCTTTAGGTTCCTGTTAATAACCAATCCTCCATTTAAACATTTTCTAAATTCTCCCTTAAAATTTCTGAAATTTTCACACTTAAATCAATTGCTAATACAGATTAAGACCAACCAATCTCAGAAAATAAATAATCACTTCAATCAATAAACAAACAAGGCATGGACATAATGACTTAAATAAAACAAAGCTTAGGCAATCAATCAAACAATTGAAAAATGAAAGTAAAAGAAGATTGAAAATTAATAGTTGCTAATCTAATTAATAAGCACAAAATTAATTACTGTTAAATCCTTTTTGAGTTAACATGCTAAGACCAAACAAATCGATAACTAACAAACCTAGCTAAAAAGAACTAGAAGATCACAAAATCATGAGCAAGTTACCAATTAAGCAAATGGTTTCTACCAGACTATTAGTGTAGTAGCTAAATGACCCAAGCAAGAACAACAAGGAAACACGTGGAAAAGAAGGTAAGTAGAATCTTACCACCCCTGAGTAAGCAAAAGCGAGGAGACCGACGACGCTTACTCCACGCAATCTGACCACCAAAGGTCCTTTCCTCCGAGAAATCGGGCTTGAAATGAGATTCTGGCTGGATCTTCTTGCTAGAGAGCTTTCATGAGAGTTAAGCAGCCAAGAAGACATATCAAATAACCCGAACAAACCCCCATAAACTCATGCGTTGAAAACAAAAGAAGACAAAAAATCTAGGGTTTTATTTGTAAGATCTAAAAATTAGGCAAACCTACTGGATTTTAAGGGAAACAGGTTGGAGATTAGAAATGAGGAGGAGGAGGAGATTGTATGGTGATAAAATGGGGTCATTTGGTGTGGTTGCCGCCGAGCACAAGGGGATTGGGGATCTGAGGCGCCTAGGGTTTAGATGGGTTGAGGGAGATGGAGAATGAAGGACTTCAATAGGTTTGGGGAGGGGGGAGGGGGGTTATTCGGACAATTAAATGGGATTTGGGTAAGGAGTTGCGAGCCGTTTGATCTGGGGATTGAAAAGCCAAAGGGGAAAACGGGGTTGTTTTGGTTAAGGATGGGGAAACCAAATTTAAAGTTCTGGACTGGGGAGATTGGGCTATGGGAGCGGGTGAGTTTTGAACGAAACGGGATCAAAATAATTGGCCCAACTAAGCTGATGAAACCTAAATAGCCATGTTTCTCTTTTTAAATTTCACTTTTAGCCATCAATTAAACTAATATAATATGTAAACTAAAATTTGCAATATTAACCTCATTACTACTTTATCTATCATTTAATTAATTAACTACCTTGACAATGTTAACTAACAAAAAAAGTTTAAAAACAAAAGCTAAAATATGTAAAATGGCAAGGGTATTTTTTGTGATTTTTATTTATTAATTAGGCAATTTGTCACGACCCTAAAACCGACCCGGTCGTGATGGTGCCTATCGTGAAACTAAGCCAGCCGACACAGATCCCAAATCAAACTAGTTTTTCAAAAAAGACATTTTTAATCTATTTAATTGATAATATCTCATAACATGGGTCTAAATAACAAGTGCGGAAAAATAACACAAGCCCGACATCGGGGTGTCACAAGTCACGGGCAACTACAAGGTCTGTCTAAATACAATAAAGGCTATCATAGTCCGGAAATAAAGATACTAAGAACAGTCTAAGTAAGATAAGAAGGAGAAGTGCAGGGCTACGAACGCCAAGCAGCTACCTTGCCGACTCCGAAAGACCTGCTGGAAGAACGATCAGCGCTCACTATCGCGACCCGCAACTCCTGGATCTGCACACAAGGTGCATGGAGTAATGTGAGTATGCCAACTCAGTAAGTAATAAAAGTAAATAAAAACCGAGCAATACGAAATCAGGTAATTCCACGTCATAGCACGACAATAAGCACAACACCTTTTCAAAACAGTATAGAAATCATTTAACTCATTTAAAAATCCAAGTTCAGTGAAAATCCTTTAAAAGATGTTTTTCTAACAGTTTCAATAGAGAATCAATGAGATTTAGAGTAAAAATGATGAAAGTCATCGATAGCCCCTCGGGCAAGACATGTATCATAAACCGCTCCTCGGGCATAATATCAACAGAACCAGCCCCTTGGCTACCTCTCAATCACTTGTAATCAGTCCCTCGGGCAATAACATATCACTCACTTTGTGTACTCGCGCTCACTGGGGATGTACAGACTCCGGAGGGGCTCCTACAGCCCAGGCGCTATCACAAGCCATCTCGTGGCATAATAAATCAGGCCCTCGGCCTCTCATATATCACAAAACAGTACAACCTGCTGCAGCGCGCAGCCCAATCCCATGATATCCTCACAAAACAGGCCCTCGGCCTTACTCAGTCAGAATACCTCTCAAGCCACTCGGGCTAACAGTAAAACAGGATGCTCAGTCGAAATATCATTTATGTATCAAATCAGAGTAAATAAGACTGAGTTATGAAATCAGTAAAACATAGCATGACTGAGCACATATATTAAATCAAAACAATGAGGAATTTCAGTAAAGAAAGCCCCTAAGGGTCCAAATAGTTGGCACGAGGCCCAAATATGGCATTCAGCTCAAAACATAGTAATACTTTCTAACATAAGGTAATGTCAAGTAGTTTCAATCAAGCACACTACTTAATAGTTGCTACGGGACGGGCCAAATCACAATCCCCAACGGTGCACGTCCCTTACGCTCGTCATCTAGCGTGTGTGTCACCTCAAAATAGTACAACGATGTGAAATCTGGGGTTTCATACCCTCAGGACAACATTTACAATCATTACTTACCTCAAATCGGATCGAACTCTAACACGCGATGCCTTTGCCTCTTGACTCGGCCTCCAAATGCTCCAAATCTAACCAAAATCAGTATCACATCATTAATACACGCGAAAGGAACAGTGTCCAAGCGAAAATAATCAAATTAACTCAAAAATCCCGAAATTGGCCAAACCCAACCCCCGAGCCCACGTCTCGGAACCCGATAAAAATCACAACACTAGAATCCTTATCCCCTCACGAGTCTATACATACCAAAATTACAAAAATCGGACCTCAAATGACCCCTTAAATCCCCAATCAAAGCTCTCCAAAACTCAAGCCCTAACCATCAATTTCCACCCCAAATTCCCCACTAATTTCATGATTAGGTAGTCGAAAAATCATCACAAACACCAAATACAAAGCCCAAGTAACTTACCTCACTGAAATCCCTCAATTCCTCCTTAAATTCCTGGCTTGGAGCTCCAAAATCGCACAAAAATGGTGAAAGAATCACTGAAATTCGCGAAGGGGCCCTTTTATACATTCTGCCTAGCACTTTAGCACCTGCGGCCCATTTCACGCACCTGCGGCCGCTTCTGCAGAACCGCATCTGCTGTTTTAACTTAAGTCACCAGCTTCCGCACCTGCGCTCCAGGCCTCGCACCTGTGGGCTCGCAGGTGCGGTCAACTTCTCCTCTCCTGCGAGAAACTTCGCATCTGTGGTTTCTTCTCACGCCTACGATCATCGCACCTGCAGTCCCACTCTGCGAGTGAGGAAACAACAGAAGCAGCAAAAATTGTGCAACACCAACTCAACTCTAAACCTTCCGTCAACCACCCAAATCCATCCCGAGGCCTTCGGGACCTCAACCAAACATGCCAACAAGTCACATACCACTACTCAAACTCGCTCCAACCTTCGGAACACTCCAAACACCGAAATACCAAATCACCCTCGGATTCAAGCCTAAGGATTCCAAAAACTTCCGAATTCCGCCAAACAATGTAAAAACCTATCAAACCTCATTCGAATGACCTGAAATTTTGCACACACATCATAAATGACACAACGAACTTACTTCAATTTTCGGAATTCCAATCTGACCCCGATATCAAGATTTCCACTGCCGACCGGAAAACGCCAAATTTCCAATTTCGCCAATTCAAGCCTAAATCTACCACAGACCTCCAAAATACATTCCGAACACGCTCCCAAGTCCCAAATCACCTTATGAAGCTATCCGAACCATAAAATCCCAATTCCAGGATCATTTACCCACAAGTCAACTTCCAGTTGACTTTACCAACTAAATAGCCAACTTAAGAGACTAAGTGTCTCATTCCACCCTAAGAACACTCCGAACACAACACCACCAACACGATAGGATGAAATACAACTGAACAACACACAAGGAAGCAGAAATGGGGAAAACGGGGCAGTAACTCATGAAATGACCGACCGGGTCGTTACATCATCCCTCTCTTAAACAAACGTTCATCCTCGAACGAGTCAAGAAACATACCTGAAGCCTCAAACAGGTGTGGATATCTGCTCTGCATATCCCGCTCGGTCTCCCAGTAGCCTCCTCCACGGGCCGACCTCTCCACTGCACTTTTACTGAAGTTATATCCTTTGATCTCAACTTTCGGATCTGCCGCTCCAAAATGGCCACTGGCTCCACATCATAAGTCAAATCACTGTCTAACTGAATCATGCTGAAATCCAAAACATGAGACGGATCGCCAATATACTTCCAGAGCATAGAAACATGAAATACTGGATGCACATTCGACAAGCTAGGTGGCAAGGCAAGCTCATAAGCCACCCCCCAGTCCTCCGAAGCACCTCAAAAGGCCCAATGAACTCATGACTCAATTTACCCTTCTTTCCAAATCTCATAACACCCTTCATGAGTGAAACCTTCAGTAAAACCTTCTCCCCAACCATGTAAGACACATCACGGAACTTCCTGTCAGCATAACTCTTTTGTCTCGACTACGCTGTACGAAGCCGCTCCTGAATCACCTTCACTTTGCCCAAAGCATCCTGCACCAAGTCTGTACCCAAAAGCCTGGCCTCGCCCGGTTCAAACTACTAGAGATCTACACCGTCTCCCATATAAGGCCTCATATGGAGCCATCTGAATACTCGACTGATCTGTTGTTATAGGCAAACTCCGCGAGCGGTAGAAACTGATCCCATGAACCCCCAAAGTCAATGACACAAGCACGTAACATGTCCTCCAATATCTGAATAGTGCGCTCGGACTGCCCGTCCGTCTGAGGGTGAAAAGCTGTGCTCAACTCAACCCGAGTACCCAAATCTCGCTGCACGGCCCTCCAAAGCTGCAAAGTGAACTGAGTACCTCTGTCCAAAATGATGGAAACTGGGACACCATGCAAGCGAACAATCTCTCGGATATAGATCTCTGCTAACGCTCTAAAGAATAGGTAGTACATACCGGAATAAAGTGCGTGGACTTGGTCAGCCGATCCACAACCACCCAAATAGCATCGAACTTCCTCAAAGTCCGTGGGAGTCCAACTACAAAATACATGGCGATCCGTTTCCACTTCCACTCTGGAATATCTATCTATTGAAGCAAGCCACCAGGTCTCTGATGCTCATATTTCACCTGCTGACAATTAAGACACCGAGCTACAAATCCCATAATATCCTTCGTCATCCTCCTCCACCAATAATGCTGTCTCAAATCCTGATACATCTTT